ACAGACTCCTAAGTGCACCGCTCACCCTTTTCCCCTCATCAATTCTATGATTCACCTCATCTTTCATAGACTCATCTGCTGACACGTCCACTCCCAAATATCTGAATACATTCACCTCCTCCATACTCTCTCCCTCCAATCTGATATCCAATCTTTCATCACCTAATCTTTTTATCCTCATAACCTTACTCTTTCCTGTATTCACTTTTAACTTTCTTCTTTTGCATACCCTACCAAATTCATCCACCAACCTCTGCAACTTCTCTTCAGAATCTCCCAAGAGCATAGTGTCATCAGCAAAGAGCAACTGTGACAACTCCCACTTTATGTGTGATTCTTTATCTTTTAACTCCACGCCTCTTGCCAAGACCCTCGCATTTACTTCTCTTACAACCCCATCTATAAATATATTAAACAACCATGGTGACATCACACATCCTTGTCTAAGGCCTGCTTTTACTGGGAAATAATCTCCCTCTTTCCTACATACTCTAACTTGAGCCTCACTATCCTCGTAAAAACTCTTCACTGCTTTCAGTAACCTACCTCCTACAGCATACACCTGCAACATCTGCCACATTGCCCCCCTATCCATCCTGTCATACGCCTTTTCCAAATCCATAAATGCCACAAAAACCTCTTTAGCCTTATCTAAATACTTTTCACTTATATGTTTCACTGTAAACACCTGGTCCACACACCCCCTACCTTACCTAAAGCCTCCTTGTTCATCGGCTATCCTATTCTCCGTCTTACTCTTAATTCTTTCAATAATAACTCTACCATACACTTTACCAGGTATACTCAACAGACTTATCCCCCTATAATTTTTGCACTCTCTTTTGTTCCCTTTGCCTTTATACAAAGGAACTATGCATGCTCTCTGCCAGTCCCTAGGTACCTTACCCTCTTCCATACATTTATTAAATAATAGCACCAACCACTCCAAAACTATATCCCCACCTGCTTTTAACATTTCTATCTTTATCCCATCAATCTCAGCTGCCTTACCCCCTTTCATTTTACCTACTGCCTCACGAACTTCCCCCACACTCACAACTGGCTCTTCCTCACTCCTACTACAAGATGTTATTCCTCCTTGCCCTATACACAAAATCACAGCTTCCTTATCTTCATCAACATTTAACAATTCCTCAAAGTACAGTGGACCCCCGGTTAACGATATTTTTTCACTCCAGAAGTATGTTCAGGTGCCATTACTGACTGAATTTGTTCCCATAAGAAATATTGTGAAGTAGATTAGTCCATTTCAGACCCCCAAACATACACGTACAAACGCACTTACATAAATACACTTACATAATTGGTCGCATTCGGAGGTAATCGTTATGCGGGGGTCCACTGTATTCCTTCCATCTTCCCAATACCTCTAACTCTCCTCTCCTATTTTTAACTGACAAATTCATTTGTCTCTCTCCAAAACTTTTTCTTATTTTCAACATAATTTGTTGATAACATCTCACCCACTCTCTCATTTGCTCTCTTTTTACATTGCTTCACCACTCTCTTAACCTCTCTCTCTTTCTCCATATACTCTTCCCTCCTTGCATCACTTCTACTTTGTAAAAACTTCTCATATACTAACTTTTTCTCCCTTACTACTCTCTTTACATCATTCCACCAATCGCTCCTCTTCCCTCCCGCACCCACTTTCCTGTAACCACAAACTTCTGCTGAACACTCTAACACTACATTTTTAAACCTACCCCATACCTCTTCGACCCCATTGCCTATGCTCTCATTAGCCCATCTATCCTCCAATAGCTGTTTATATCTTACCCTAACTGCCTCCTCTTTTAGTTTATAAACCTTCACCTCTCTCTTCCCTGATGCTTCTATTCTCCTTGTATCCCATCTACCTCTTTCTCTCAGTGCAGCTACAACTAAAAAGTGATCTGATATATCTGTAAACATGTACATCCTGAAGTCTACTCAACAGTCTTTTATCTACCAATACATAATCCAACAAACTACTATCATTTCGCCCTACATCATATATTGTATACTTATTTATCCTCTTTTTCTTAAAATATATATTACCTTTCTATACAAAGTTCAGTCAAAGGGCTCCCATTATCATTTACTCCTGGCACCCCAAACTTACCTACCACACCCTCTCTAAAAGTTTCTACTTTAGCATTCAGGTCCCCTTCAGGTTCCTATACATTCACTTAACATCTCCCCAAATCTCTCTCTCTCCTCTACATTCCTCTCTTCTCCAGGTGCATACACGCTTATTATGACCCACTTTTCGCATCCAACCTTTACTTTAATCCACATAATCCTTGAATTTACACATTCATATTCTCTTTTCTCCTTCCATAACTGATCCTTCAACATTACTGCTACCCCTTCCTTAGCTCTAACTCTCTCAGATACTCCAGATTTAATCCCATTTATTTCCCCCCACCGAAACTCCCCTACCCCCTTCAGCTTTGTTTTGCATAGGGCCAGGACATCCAACTTCTTTTCATTCATAACATCAGCAATCATCTGTTTCTTGTCATCCGCACTACATCCACTCACATTCAAGCATCCCAGTTTTATAAAGTTTTTCTTCTTCTCTTTTTTAGTTAATGTCTACAGGAGAAGGGGTTACTAGCCCATCGCTCCCGGCATTTTAGTCACCTCATACGACACGCATGGCTTACGGAGGAAAGATTATTTACCACTTCCCCATGGACAATAGAAGAAATAAAGAAAAACAAGAGCTATTTAGAAAAAGGAGAAAAACCTAGATGTATGTATATATATACAGTGTATATGCATGTGCGTGTCTGTGAAGTGTGACCAAAGTGTAAGTAGGAGTAGCAAGATATCCCTGTTATCTAGCGTGTTTATGAGACAGAAAAAGAAACCAGCAATCCTACCATCATGCAAAACAGTTACAGGTTTCTGTTTCACAGTCATCTGGCAGGATGGTAGTACTTCCTTGGGTGGTTGCTGTCTACCAACCTACTATTGAGCAGATATAATTGTAAGCGTATATTTTGCAGTTGGGAATAAGGTATTGAGTGATATGGTGAGCAGTAAAGTGAAATGGTGTGCAGCATCTCACTTTAGATGGTATATATTGTGGGTTAGACATGGAGGCTTGTAATCAGCAATACATCATATGTGAACTTAATACCCTCATTCAGTTCTCTATGAAATCAAATAGCGAGTGTATTTGGCACAGCTATGCTCTCCCACACCAGAGTTCTCACACGTTGTTAGGAGAAGTGATCTTGCAAGCTGACAAACCATTTGGAAATCCTTCATTCATAACAATCATTGGTATGGCTCCTTACAAGCAGTAGTAGGCATTATGTACAATACACTACTTACAAGATTGCTAACCAACATTACCTGCTAGGCCAAGCTGCTGCTTCAAAAATGACCAAATGGTATGAAATAGCTTTGTCTTCTTTGTTACCTTGTCATTATCCACCTCATTCACCTTCTTTATTAGTAATGTAGATTTTTTCTCTTCCTATGGCGCATGCGAGTGTACGATATGTATTCTCTTTAATTCTCTAGTTTTCCAACTTGTCTGGAGTTGGCCTGGTGGCTAAAGCTCTTGCTTCACACAGCGTGGGTCTGGGTTTGATTCCCAGCCAGGGTAGAAACACTGGGTGTGTTTCTTTACACCTGTTGTCTATGTTCACCCATCAGTAAATGGGTACCTGGGCATTAGTCGAGTGGTGTGGGTCGCATCCTGGGACACTGATCTAATTTACCCAAAATGCTCAGCATAACAAGGGACTTTCTATTTAGTAGTATGTCATTGATGTCAGCTAGGCCTGTACACCTTGTACATGTATGTACTTGTATTAATTTTAGATATTATTATTATTATTTTAGATGTGATTATACTGTTTACCTTGCTCCTCATTCCTCCAGAAACAAGAGTTTGAAATACTGTATGTAACAAGGAGATTTACATTAATGTATTAAGTAATCATTCTGTATTAAATATAGACTTATGTTCTGTATTTTTTAAATAGATTTTCATTTTAAATATTTTAATTGGTAAAATTCTAAGTCAAGCTTTTTTGTTTAAGTGTTCTTTAAGTGATTTTGTAAAATGCTAATGTTTCACTTTCCTTTCTATCACATCAAACTTAGGACTTCATCTTTTAAACATATGAAGTGTTCAGAAAAGGATATGAAAATTCATTTATTAATTTTTCTTTTATTTTGTGCAAATCATAGGAAAGACAATATAGTCAAGAGACATTACTCCAGTGACTAGACAGATTAAGTACCAAAGGAATAAGCCGATGTGTGACTTGTAATTTATAAAAGTTAGAGTATCTGATATGACCAAGTTTCAGCATATAAAAATTCAGTACCTAAAGCTCTCACAAGTCCTTTAATATGAGACTTTATACCACAGAAGTAAGATCTTATAAACTAATGGAAGCCTAAATATAACAAAAAAACTAAAAATACAATATTTTCAGCAGTCAAAACTTTATTTTACTTAGTATACTATTCAGAATTTTAGACAAAACTTCTCAGATCCAGTCACATCTAAGTCAGTCTATTTGGCTATGATTACCTTGTAATTTCACTGCACTAGACTTTTGTACCGAGTTTTATGACTCAATCACCATGGTTTCTAACCCCACCCATACTGTGGTCTGATATTAAACTAATGGTGGTAGTATATGTGACATGGTGAGTTATTGGAACATTGGATCTAACAAGTTTTACTGTAGCAGAAGAATTTTTTTTAAATAATTTCCAGACATGAAGATAGGCCATGTAATACTGAATGTAAATTAACATAAGATACCCTGGACAAACTGGAGACAAACTCACTTAAATTATTGATAAAAAAAAAAACAGCCAAATAAAAAGAGCATTAAAAAATACAACTTTTTACATTGAGTCATTGAAGTGAAATGATGTATAAATTTATATCTCAGCATAAAATACAACATCATAATAGTTGTGTGATAGTTTTAAGTTTAAAGTAAAATCACATGGCATACATATTTAAATTTCTGCATAATTAAGCATAGAAATTATTTCATAAAATGATTGATGCATAAAATTTAACTATTATATTAACTGAAGATTGCAACTACTTTTTGTAAATGGTATATTATGAAACCTAACATAGAGTAGTTGCTGGCAAGTTTGGAAGCATGTATCAAACTAATCAAATGTGCTGAATATTGTCTACCTGAACACTTAAGGCACTAATACTTGGAATTCTACAGGTCCCAGTGACCCAGGCCAGCAGTAAGCATCAAGCACCCTCACACCATTTCTTGAATTTGCATTTCCACTGTAGGATAATAGGTATAAAAAGAGGCACGCTAGTACACGTCTAAAAAATATTTATAGTACATCTCAAAAAAGATTGATTTGATTAATTAATTAGTAATTTATTTAATTTTGGAATACTATTTTAACAGTAGTTAGTGTTTATGATAAAGCAAAAATTAAGTTGCCAGTATCATGGTACTGTAATGGTGATAATTACTGTATACCATTTTATAAAGTGTGTGTTTATGGATGTGTATGTATGTATGTATGCGGTACTGTTATAATCAAGCACAACAGTGCAAAAAATCAAATGTTTAATTAATCAGAATTCAGATGTCTTTCAGTGCTGAATGACTCACAAGAATGTAACACTATTTTGTGAACCGATTACTAATATTAAAAAAAAAAAAAATGATTCATTAAAATTAATTTTCATTGCAGTTCAATCATTATAAAAATGCAGTCTATCCCTAGAGTTTTTTTGTGAAACGCAGTCCCTCCCCTTCACCTCGCAGGACATCGGTTTTTACTCGGCACCAGCATTTGCCTCAGCTACCTGTGCTTTCACATCATCATAGCTTGGCATCTCCTGCAGCAGAAGTAAGATACATTAGCTTGTAATCAAATATTTTGTGTTTACTCAAGATACTGTTAACAACAAAATTCAATATATCAGATGTGTTTTCCTATTAGGTATGATGAAATATGGGCTTAATAAAAATAGATATCTATTACATATTGCTATCATATTATTAAAACAGTTAATACACCTTTCCTAATGAAGTGAACTATTTAAATGACAATATTTTCCAACTGGTTATTATATGTAAATGCTAAATTTGATTTTACTATAATTCATGGTCTATAGCTGTTACTCAAAGAAGATTTGAAGTTACTGTAAGCACCATGAAATAATTTTAGAAATATGGTTCATTCAGTCTGTAGACTGAAAAACTCTAAGCAACTTCATACCTACTGTATGTATCTAGCAGTTTCCAGTCAAACTTATAAAGAGTAAATTAATGTAATGCAAACAAAACATGCTGGCATAAGCAAGAAACAGAAGCATATACTCTTCTCCACCCCAGGTTAATTACAAACTAAACAAAACAAGCACTCCTTAAAACACTGCATTAGAGGAGAAAATGAAGTAGAAAAACAACTTTAAAACACTACAGAAGAACAGAAGAAAAATAAATATAGCAGATGTAGGTAGATGCAGAAGCCAGAAATCAAGACAAATAGTAAACTGATCATCATCATCAGCTTTTAATCAATATTTGTTTAATTTTGATTTTAGGACAAGACTTACCCTACAATGATGGCTTAATTAACAGAATTTGATCTGTCTTTATAGCAGTGATATATACTGTACAGTACATTATTACAATACCATACAACATGTGCACAGTTACCTGCTGCTAGCTGTAAGTTCCCTAAGAATTAAATAACCTTCATATTACAACAAGTATTAAGCAAATACACTATACCTATGAATAAATGTGTGTTAAGAGACCTATTTGAATGCCTACTCTAGTATGTTAAATCCCAAGACCCATGGGTTTTTTCATTTGTGTTTACAGAGATTTAAGATATCCTTGGGGATTAATGCTGGATGATTTTTAACCCAGGATAACCCAACAAAGCGAAGTATATCTTGTGGATGTGACCCACAACAGCTGACTAACTTCTGTGCATCTACAATACATATTGGTAAGTGACCATGGGTAGCTAGTGTAAAGACACTTGCCCAAACCTTTTTTTTTTTTTTTAGCCCAGTGCTGTACCACCAAGATATGGGACACTTTACCAGTCTGTGATTGCCCATCTGATTACCTCCCAGTAGTGAGTAGTTACAGTATTAGAGCAGATTTTTTCTAATAATGTCCTATATTCAGTATAGCACAGTATTATATTTGTCATGTTTATTTTATTGAAGCATTTATATTGCACACTACAGCCAAGCACTTGCTCTACACAAAATAGAGCTTAATAATAATCTACACATAAAAATAAATATATTTTTGTCAGACCATGAAGTGTTGTGCATATCACCACCAGTATCACTTTCCCTGCTGTTTACTCTCAATTTTATAAAATAAAACTAACATCCTTCATCTATAAAGGATCATATCTCGCGATTAAGCACACTTAGCTACATGTGGGAAAGTTCGGACATGCTTCTACTAAATTTATTCAACTTTATTTAGGCTTCATCAAAACATGTGCTTTATATACAGGCATACCTCACTAATACGGCAGGTTAGGTTCCAGACCACAGCTGTAAAGCAAATGTTGCTGTAAAGTTAATGTCTTTTTTCACTTACCAGTGCATATAAAAGCCTAAACACGTGTTTACACTATCATATATTAAGTGCACAATAATTGCTGAAAACCATCTTAAGAGCAAGGCAAGTGCCGAATATAATTGAGAAGTACCATGCTAGCGAAACGCTCTAAAGTGAGCGCCATATTAGCGAGGTATGTTTGTATCACCAATGTCGCAAATATATGGAATTTTACATTACGGCCCACTGTCATTTTATCTGCCCTTCTTTCTGAAAGCCCTACTTTTAATCCCTAAACAGTCCAAACGTCTATATACGTTCTTACTGCAAGCGCCTCAAGCATACATATACGTTTTATTTTTCCTTCCTCCAAATTTGGCACGATTGGCCTGAGATGCTTGGTCAGTATAGAATGGGTCTTAACACTCGGTGTGCACCATATTAAAAAAAATCTGGGACCACTTAGTACCTTGTGGGAGCGCCAGTTAAACTGAGCGCCAGCTAGAGCAAACAGTGCAGCAAACACCAAGGATTCACTGATGTAATGTCATATTAACACTCCCCTTTTAAGAGGAGTTAACCCCAAGTTTAGGGTCTGTCTATCTCTGTCTCTTTTTATCTGTCTCACAGGTACACACAAATACAATTATACATAGTGTAAATTACCTAGGATAACCTAAAAATACTTTTTTTTTAGGTCTAGCTCTATTGCTTACTTACTTAATATATGATAGTGTAAACATTTGTCAGACTTTTATATTTGAAAATGAAAAAAAGCTATGTTTCACTTTACAGTAAATTTATCCCAAACCTAATGTACTGTGTAAGCGGGGCCCTCCTGTACTCTTCCCATAAAGCATCATTCTTTTAGTGGCACCGTTGTATCATCCAAGTAGTATATGAATCTAACATTGATTTTTTTTTTTTTAATTTTTAATTTTATTCAAATTTTGCACATTAAAGTATAGGTGTTTGCCTACTGTAAATGATATCAGCCAGCCTAAACTAGGTCCACAAAAATTTCTTAGTTCATCTATTTTGTGCCAAGTTCCACGTGGCTGCAGATATATGATACATAGTTTAAAGTAAAAAATAAAAAAACTGTTATTGTCATACTAGACAGATAAAACATAAAAGAAATAAAAATCTAAAACACTTTTATAAACAATACTAAAATAATTATGAAAATAACCTCAGTAGAAGGCAGGAAAAATTACAAATATCAACAAAGTCTTCTTTCAATGGGCAAGTGAAAAGTTCAGTGGTGATAAATTACAACTGCTTAGGCATGGAAGAAATGAAGATCTCAAAATGATCTCAGTATACAAACTGTAAAACACTTAAAAATAATTATGTCAGAAAAATAAAAAAAAAGGCACAATACCGTAAATGGAATAATTCACAAATAACCCACACATAGCAGAGAGGAGCTTACGACGATGTTTCGATCCAACTTGGACCATTTACACTGACACAGTGTGACTTTTTAAATGGTCCAAGTCTGACCAGAACATCATCGTAAGCCCCTCTCTCCTATGTTCGGGTTATTTGTGTATACAGTGGTACCTTGACTTATGAGTGCCCCAACTTATGAGTTTTCCAAGTTACAAGCCGTTGCTTGGTCGATTATTTGCTTCGAGTTAAGAGCCAAAATCTGAGCTATGAGCTAGCTTCAGATACACCGCCACTAGTTGGCGCAGCAAATGCCACGACATTGTAAGTAAGTTTATTCAGGTATACACAAATACGGTTACATAGATTATCATACATAGCAGCATATGTACAGAGAACCTAGGATAACCCAAAAAAGTCATTAACTTATTTCCATTGGGGTCCTTTTGTTATCTTATCAGTAATATTACCTGGCACATCTTGTGACAACCCTGACATTGTGGGCTGACATCTTTTGTTGTGCTTGTTTTGCAGTTACTTTGCCAAATTTCTTTTTTCTAACCATGGGTCTTAAGAAAGTAAGTGCAAAGAACAGTGCTGAGAAGAGGATGATGATGATGTCCATTAAATTAAAGCATGAAATCATAGAAAAACTCGAGCGAGGTGTGCGTGTAGTCAACTTGTAGTTCGATCCACCACCTCCTCCAGCATCTTCCGTTAGCCCAAGTTGTCTGATCTCCAAGGTAAATACACTTTATAAAGCCAGTTTATTTATTTACATTCTCATTTATTATGTTTTTATACAATATTTCTTATTTACAAATACATTATTCTTATTTAAAAACCCGTAACAAAAAAATTGGAGTGGCTTTTTGGAGGCTGGAATGGATTAATGGCATTTCAATTCATTTCAGCGAGGAAAATTAATTTGATACACGAGCAAATTGAGTTACGAGCTTGGTCACGGAACGAATTAAACTCGTAAGTCAAGGTACCACTGTAATTATGTCAGGATCTGTTATTTAGAAAACACGATAAGCAAATGCGGGAAAATGACAGGGAGGATTATGGGAACTTTCAAAACAAGCTATGCCAAAAATGGTAATTTTCAAATCATTTGTGCTCTCATGAGCAGCGCTGTATAGCCCTTGTGGCTTAGCGCTTCTTTTTGATTATAATAATAATGCGCTCTCATGACTTAAATATTGTTCTGAGCTTGTTGTGCTTTTCAAGGCAGGAAAAATAACAGGGCTGGAAAATGTACAGAGGATGCACACTACCCACCTAAGTCAATAAAACCTCTAAACTGCTGGGAATGCCTTAAAGCACTCTCATTATTCTCTTTAGAACACATAAGAAAGATGCTTAAAAACATATAAACAGAAGGTACTATACTTGAAGAAGTGGTCCATAACCTGCTCATTGCTGTAATGAACTTACTGGAGTGAAAGTTATGGGAGAAAGTTTACAATAAACTCAATGACAAGCCAAGGACCATAGGTACAATTAGAGAACACTGTGTCAACATCCATGGCCCAAAACTCGACAGTACCAGCAGATATCAGAAACAGTAATGTCAAGACAAAGGTAGAAGTTTTTTAAGAAGCTGAAAAGCTTCCTTCTACATGTGCTGAATCAATGGGGTTGTGAAGGCTATGTGGGCCAGCAGGTTGCTAAGGTGGTCCTCAAAGAAATATGGCCTTAGGCTAAGCTGCCAGGATAAAACCCTTAAAACTGGTCACAGGTAAAACATGGGTCATGGGTCTCTTTCATATTAATGTTAAGCTTACAGTTAGTGAGCAAACAGTAGGACAAATTTATTAGAAAACATTTTGGTCCCAGGACCAAAATGTTTTTTGAGCCAATTTGTTGGTATCAATTACCAAGGTTTATACCAGGTTTAGTTATT